ATATATATAGATTGATTGATTCAATGACAGGTAAATCAACTGCAAAAGGAACAATCAATAAGACATAAAATTCTCTTGCAAGAGCTCCTTGCTCTCAACTCACAAACTTTAATTCCCCTTCTTAAAATACTGGCCTGTGAAAGCCGACAGCCCGTTCTCATCGCAAATTATTATTGTTTCTTCAGCACAGATGTGATAAGCACGTGACGATTGCTTGATTTGTCACCTTTGCAGCGTAAAAATAATATTCACTTATCAAAATCGTGACCTCCGCGATGTTAATCATGTAGCTTTGAGTTCGATGATAAATTATGGCGGGTGACGTGTAGTCTCGCAGAGCATCGCTTGAATCGTATGTCACGTAGTTACTATAATAACCCAAAAGGAGAAAGATTGATGAGCTTTATGTGAGTTCTGCACCCCGGTATCTCTGTTATCGTTCTGTGGTGATGATAATCACCTTGATAAATTCGCGGCGTTATTCCTTTCAGCCCCCACCGTTGACTGCTCTACCTGTTTCTAAAACTAGAATGTTTCCGAGATTCTGGTCATAAAAGATACCACTTAAAAATATCAGGGCGAAGCGTCTATATAATCAAATAATCACTGCTTCCCTTCCTAATTTTGAAACATTGTCGCTGTCAAATTCATCCATAAACGTAAACCTCTTAAATTAAATGTAAAAAGACGTTTGTAATCAACAATGAACAGTATGCCTAACATTCAAAACGGTTTCACGGCCACAGAAATAGCCTCCCCACCCCTCTCGAGCCACTCCATAAGCAGTCGCAAGCTTTGATTAAGTAAGCTTAAAGTGAGGCTGGAAGAGTCTACCAATATATTTGAAGGGAACATGTGCATAGCAGTCAAAGCTGTTTCATTGCCACATATATCCTGTTCACCCCTTTGGGGCCACAGTTAAAATCAATCACAAGCCCTGTTTTATGTAAGCTAACTAACACTGGTCGAGTCTACCTAAAAAATGTGAGGGGAACTAACTCCTAATAATCTCTTTACTGCTGGGAGTGCTTGTATTTTCCCCCTCGACTTTTTACCGTCTTATAATCAGATCGTGACCTCGATTATGACACCAGCTCCTGGCCGCGAAAGGCTAACAAAAACAGCCAAATGTGAAAATTAAAAAAATGATAATTGTCATGTTCTACCAGAGAGTTTACCTCTCTGGTTCTCTGGTTCTACCAAAGAGTTAGACTCACTGGTAGATCTAGTACTGACATCTCTGCTTCTTTGCTTTGTGTTTATGTATTCACATCTAAAGTTCAATTTAATTTTAGTTGGAACTGATATTTAATAAGATACTTTCCCGATTATTTTGGCGGTTGAACATACAATATGAATTCCGGATTTGTTTTCATTCACAACTCAGAGTCGCCGCCACGGGTAAGATTCTTGTGTGATATCTAGGCCTA